TGGGATGAGTATTTTCTTGCAATATTTTACACAGGGCAGAATTCAAACATGTGATTCAATACCTACTCCCTGGAGCGATACTATCTATCCCACCACTTCCTTCTGTTGTTTGTGTAGATCAAGCCTTGAGTCTCCAGATGTCAAGGATCAGCGCCCAAAGCTTCCAGATTGCAACAGTTCTAGAGAAGCTGGCATATTTGTGTTGTTTCTTCTCCTCAAAATTAAGCACCATGTAATACCCAGTACTTTAGTTTCACCATAGATCAATCAACTTTTTCTATCATGGATTTGCTAAGAGTCACTCTTTTTAACCTTACATCCCATGCCTAAAAATTGGAAACAGCCTCTTTCAACTCATTCTTTCTACTGCAACCCTAACATCTGAATGTAAATATTCTGATAGCATACCAATATCAATGCCTTATGTACTGCAGTTCTCGCAAGACTGGGACTCAAAGCAGCTCACAAGATTAAGAGTTACAGGTAAAACCACATAAAAACAGATATACACAAACTTATTTTAAAAAAACCCAACACATTATTACAGCAATGTTTCTCAAATGCTATTCCCTGGATGATAGAAGATAGAGAGATGGGCCAAAACTAACAAAATGAAGTTCAACAGTGACAAATGCAAGATACTCCACTTAGGCAGAAAAAAACGAAATGCAAAGATACAGAATGGGGGACAATGCCTGGCTCGAGAGCAGTACATGTGAAGAAGATCTTGGGCTCATCGTGGACAACAAGTTAAACATGAGTCAACAATGTGATTTGGTGGCAAAAAAAAGCCAATGGGATTTTAGCCTGCATCAATAGGAGCATAGTGTCTATATCTAGGGAAGTCATGCTACCCCTCTATTATGCCTTGGTTAGACCACACCTGGAATATTGTGTCCAATTCTGGGCACCACAATTGAAGAGAGATATTGACAAGCTGGAATGTGTCCAGAGGAGGGAGACTAAAATGATCAAGGGTCTGGAGAACAAGCCCTATGAGGAGCGGCTTAAGGAGCTGGGCATGTTTAGCCTGAAGAAGAGAAGGCTGAGAGGAGATATGATAGCCAGGTATAAATATGTGAGAGGAAGACATAGAGAGGAGGGATCAAGCTTGTTTTCTGCTTCACTGTATCTGGTTGTGATCCCCAGGTTGTGCCAGTCAGTTTTCATATGTTATTTTTTCTATTGTCCATTTTTTGTTTGATAGTCCAGCAGTGCTTCTTGTAAGTCAGACCTGAGAGAGTGTGACTTGTTCAGGGTCATCTGGTGGGTTTTCATGGATTAGTAAGGAGTTGAACCTAGGCTAAATACTATACCATGCGGACTCCCCAAATTTGTTATTCAGAGTTTATTTTTGGAGGCAATGAGCAGTCCTGGCGCACTTCTGTCTGTAACTCTCCAGGGTGCTTCCCAGCACTGAAGTCTGAGACCCTTTAAGGCAGGGGTGGGCTTGGCTTGGTTTCATTAACCATATTGAATATGAGTTCACTGTAATGGGATACTTATCTGCTGGATTGAGGAATATGCATTTCCCTCCTCTCCCACTCACTTTGATGCTTAGATTGCTTTGAATGGCAAGATGGGTGGGCAATTTTAGGTGGGATCGGAACTAATTTTCAACCCAGACTCAATGCAAACCACACCACCGGCCTTCTTAGCGAAACTCCTGAAAAGTACAGTTACGATTTCAGAAAAGCCTTTCTGGTTGCATTTTAAGAATGCAGCATGGGTGCATCTACACTGGAGAATGAATGCAGTTTGACACCACTTTGACTGCCATGGCTAATGCTATGGAATGACTGAAATTGTAATTTAACATTAGCCTTCTTTGCCAAGAACTGCTGGTGCTTCACCGAAATACAGCTCCCATGATCCCAAAGCATTGAGCCATGGCAGTTGAAAGTGGTGTCAGACTGCATTCAGTGGACCGGGCTGTGGTGCAGTTAGCTGGGAGCTAGCTAAATTAAATCACTACTATTGTTGAAGGCTTTCATGGCTGGAATCACTGGGTTGTTGTAGTTTTTTCGGGCTATATGGCCATGGTCTAGAGGCATTCTCTCCTGACGTTTCGCCTGCATCTTTGGCAAGCATCCTAAGGGGTAGTAAGGTAGTGAGTATTGATCAAGAGATCATGAGTTCAAAGCCAGCCCGGGTTGGAGTGAGCTTCCAACCATTCGTCTAGCTTGCTGTCGACCTATGCAGCCCGAAAGACAGTTGCATCTGTCAAGTAGGAAATTTAGGTACTACTTATGCACAGAGGCTAATTTAATGAATTTATGATACCATAAAAACCTTCCAGCAGCGTTATAGAAGAATGAGGAAGTACTCCATCAAAGGACTCGGTGTCACAATGGATGGTGAAGTGGCAGCTCCCCTTGTGGCCAGAATCGAACTGCAATCCAGCATACCCTCATGGAGCCAGAAAAAGCTTGGACAAAGCTGGAATGTTAAAATTGCTTCTGTGTCTGCCGATATATGTTGTATGTTTAACTGCCATTGAATGTTTGCCATGTATATGTGCATTGTAATCCACTCTGAGTCCCCTGCGAGGTGAGAAAGGTGGAATATAATACTGTAAATAATAATAAATAATGCATTCTACAGTGCAGATGGGGACCAGACAACTTGCATTAAAGAAGAACCAAACTTAACACAGTGTCATTCTTCACTTTTTAATAACACAATCAGATAGGGGATCATGTTAACCTGTGGACCACATGTTGCCTGCTCGTAACTTTAAGGCACTGAAGAGCCAAAACAAGGCTTTTTACTGCCAAGGATCTGTCAAAGGACTATCCCATTACCACTTATTACATAGCTGGACATACATCAAAGTTAGTAGTATCAACATCAAGAGAAAAATAGTATCTACTCTACTACGGTTTGTCTCTATAGTCCCTTGGTCAGTACATCCAAAAGTTTCCTACTGTGATTCCCTCCTAGTCCCAAGAAAATAATATATTTCAGCAGGAATGCTGGCCCAAACCCCGTTTTGTCATACTTCTAGAGAACCCACAGATAAACAAAAGAGGGGATCCAATATTTGTAACTCAGCTGCGGATGTCAATGAACCAGAAGCCGCACTCTGCAGGCTGTATGGGGTTTTTAAAAGTGCAACAAAACCCCAGTCAATGTTTTCTCTTTCAGAAAAGGTTAGCCAATGAAATTGGTACTAAAGTTTCACTGTAAAAACAAACCCTGATTTCATATAAACAGGCAGCAATGGGAATCGCCCAGCCCTGCCAAGCTAAGTTCAGAGTTCGCCCGTTTCATTTTTGCTTGCGCACAAAATGCCTTTCAGAATAAAAAAGGAGGGGTCTCAGGAAAGACTGCTTTTAAGGTCAGTGCACTTTGTCCCACTGCTTTCTGTAGTTTCATTACATCCCTTAAACAAATAAATTGATGGATATGGATAGACTCATCCTCAAGGGAAGTTGGAGGAGAGGCAGACGTCTTTCTGCATTCCAGAGATAAATTCTGCTCAAAGGCTCCAGATGAATTTGGACGCCAGTTTATTCCAGAGTCTCAAATGCAAAGCAGTATAAATGTCACAATCCCAAGCAGTTCATGGAGAATATGTAGTGCAAATCATGAAAGTAAGTCTAGTAGCTTTCTGAGCATCCTCTTTTACTTCTATTTAATAAAGCAAGTTTCTAGACCAGTAGTTTCCAACCTGTGGTCACTGGACTATCGGTGGTCCACAAGGATGGAAATATGGTCCATGGATGCACCATTACTACACCGTTGCCTCACCATTACTACACACGAAACCATGCGGCAATGAGAGTGACTGGTCTCGCGAAACCCTCTTATAAAGTCCTGAGGCAATGGGGATGTCAGAAGAGAAAGGGCTGACTACCCACAAAAGATTATTACTACCACATCAGCTTTAAATTATTAAATATGGTTTTCTGTGGGCGAACAGATGGCAACTACTGTATGGAATAGGTTCTGTATCAGAAACTAGAGCTGATGTGGTCTATCCAATGCAATCTTCTGAATCAATGCCCCAAATAACCAAACTGAATCTAAAGTTGACCAAAAACCGATTCATAATCCTTTTGGGTACTAACATTGGAGAGTAGTCCCTAGTCAATCTCCGGTCAAAAAAAGATTGGAATCACTGTTCTAGACCTTATGCCAGCAGTAATGAATGTTTGATTGAATCTCCGAAGACAAAGAGGCTGCTGAAGAAGTTGTGGAAGAGGTTTTGGGAAGCAGGGCTCCAGTGTCCATTCCCATTTAAAAAATCCAACAGAATAAGGCTGCAAACCCCAACACAGAGAGTAATCCCCATCTAATTCAAAGGTATCTCATCCTGATCGGAAATCCAGAGAGAGATGCTATAGTCTTGAACATACAGAGGTAGAAATTAAGGTAGAAATTAAGTAACTGCTATCTCAGTATTAACTTTTTCCCCCTACAGTTCTAATCCTGGATATAAAACAGCATGAGGAGCCAACGGTGGTGCAATCGGTTAAACCCTTGTGCTGGCAGGATTGCTGACCGAAAGGTTGGTGGTTCAAATCTGGGGAGCAGGGTGAGCTCCCATCTGTCAGCTCCAGCTTCTCATGCTGGGACATGAGAGAAGCCTCCCACATGATGGTAAAACATCCAGCCGTCTCCTGGGCAACGTCTTTGCAGACAGCCAATTCTCTCACCCCAGAAGCGACTTGCAGTTTCTCAAGTCATTTTTGACACACACACAAAGCCAGCGTGAAGGTTTGTGCCCTAAAATTTCAAAAATACAGAGTTTTGGGATAGTCCCTCTCATCAATTTTGAAGTCTGAAATGTTAAAATGTAGGGTAGGAGGCTTGCTAAATTTTGTTGTCAGCACAGCCACTCGAGTATGTTCTCTTCAAATATTCCCATTGATCTTCCTGTCTTACACTTGAGAACACGAAGCGGGGGAGGCAACCCGACATCACTAACTCAGCAGGCTGCATCCGGAACGAGCGCAGGAAGCCTCTTTGTTCGGAGTCTGGTTAGCATCACTTACCAACACAAAGGATGTTGAAGCAGAAGCCCTGCGAGGTTGACTTGTTGACCAACTGATCGGGGAGACTGTCGAAACCAACATGGCCTGAAAGGGACAGGTTCCGGAGATCATCATTCTGAAATGCCAAAGAAACGGGTTGGGAAACATTAACAGAGTCCATCTCCATCCTATTTCTATGCAGAAGAAAACATCCACATGCACCCCTCCCACCCACGCATATTGACATGAATGGCACTCTTTTCTAAACACAGGTATACGAGGCAGATATGTTCCTTTGCAAGGCTTTGTACAAAGGAGTGCCTTTGTCAGGGGCTTTGTTAACTGGATGAAGTATGCTTGCGTATAAGTACAGGCACATTCAATGATTATATAATGGAGGCACACTTAATGGTTTGGCAATTTGTACAGGGATAGATGACAGTTCAGAGGGAGAGAAAAAATCCAGCTTTCTATAGAAAATGTATCAAGTTTATATATAGGTGTCAATCTAGGTTGGTTGGTTGGTACCACAAAGGCTCCTACATGGCTTGATGGATCTGAACCAAATTTGGCACACAGATCCTTCATTATCCAATCTAGCTAGATAAGACAGAGATATGCCTGGTCAGTTGCAAGGCCGAACAGGGAATAGGGTTACAGCCTGTGTTGGATGGGGTTGCACTCCACCTGAAGATGCAGGTTCGCAGCTTGGGTGTGATCCTGGATTCATCGCTGAGCCTGGAACCCCAGGTTTCAGCGGTGACCAGGGGAGCATTTGCACAGTTAAAGCTAGTGTGCCAGCTGCACCTGTACCTTGGGAAGTCTGACTTGGCCACGGTGGTCCACACTCTGGTTACATCCCATATAGACTACTGCAATGCACTCTACGTGGGGTTGCCCTTGAAAACTGCTCAGAAGCTTCAAATGGTCCAGCGTGCGGCAGCCAGGTTGCTAACGGGAGCTGCATTCAGTGAGCATACAACTCCACTGTTGCACCAGCTCCACTGTTTGCTACCAGGCACAATTCAAAGTGCTGGCTTTAGTCTACAAAGCCCTAAATGGTTCCGGCCCAGCTTATCTATCCAAATGCATCTCTCCCCATGAACCTTCTAGGAAGTTGAGATTGTCTGAGTAGGCCCTGCTCTTGATCCCGCCTGCCTCTCAGGTGCATCTGGTGGGGACAAGAGACAGGGCCTTCTCTGTGGTGGCCCCTCGGCTGTGGAACTCACTGCCTAGGGATGTTAGATCACCCCCCTCCCTCCTGACTTTTTGGAAAAGAGTGAAAACCTGGCTCTTTGGGCATGCGTTTGGAACTTCAGCATGACCAGATAGACTCAAATTGGAATATGAACAAGGATCGGCTAAGACGATGGAAACGGTTGAGAAATTGAACAGGAAGACATAGTTTTATAATTTTTATTGCTTTTACTAGCTGTGCCTGCCACATGTTGCTGTGGTCAACCTTCCCTCTTTCTCTCCTTCTTTCCCTCCTTCCTTCACTCCCTCTTTCCTTCCTTCCTTCCCGTCTTTCCTTCTCTTCTTCCTTCCTTCTCTATCTCTTTCCTTCCTTTCCCTTTTTCTTTCTCTTCTGCTGTCTCTCTTTTCTTCCTTCTCTTTCCTTCTTTCCTTCCCTCCCTCTTTCTCTACATCTTCCCCCTTCCTTCGCTCCCTCTTTCCTTCTTTCTTTCCCTTTCCTTCCTTCCTTCTCTAACTTTCCTTCCTTCCCCTTTTTCTTTCCCTCCCTCTTTCTCTCCTTTCTTCCTTCTCTACCTCTTTTCTTCCTTCTCCCTTTCCTTCTTTCTTTCCCTCCTTCTCTTTTCTTTCTTTCTTTCTTTCTTTCTTTCCTTTTTTCTGTATTGTCATTTAGCCTTTTTGGGGTCTTTTTAAGTCCCTTCTGCTGTGTTTTTCAGTGTTTTTATGAGTAGTGAAGACATACATTGGGTTGTTAGGTGTATTGTGTCCAAATTTGGTGTCAATTCCCCCAGTGGTTTTTGTGTTCTGTTAATCCCACAAACGAACATTACATTTTTATTTATATAGATTGCTTCTATGGTTTTAAAATGTTTTATGATCTTTTTTTGCTTTTAATTGATGCATGTATTTATATATGGCATCTAATTCTTGCCAATTTGTATGCCACCCTGAGTCGCCTTTGGGCTGAAATGGGCAGGATAAAAGTAATGTACGTAAATAAATAAATAAATAAATAAATAATATCTATGCACATAATAAAAGTGAAAATATCTATGTGTGCATGTAGCTGGGATGCAGACAGGCTCCTGCCTGCACAAACAGCTATTGCTCCCACTAATCAGGAGACACCAATGGCCCTCCCTCCAAGACATTACAGGTTACAGTGAGTGCCATAAATATGTCCAAGAGCCCTGCCAGTGTCCTCCACAAACACAATACTGCCTACCACCCAAGTGAAGGCTTTCATATGGGGACAATTTCATCCTAGATTTTATGTGTTTCCTCCACCACACACATCTCAGTCTTTCTGATTCTCTCCATTGGTGTGGAATTTGCATGATCCTGCCCACTGCTTCTTCCATAACCCTTTCCTACTTTAAGGCGCACAGCAAACAGTAGAATTTATCAGTGACTGGACATACTGGACAGGTTTGGGGGCCTGACTCAACATGTAGTTTAACCTTCATCAAGACAGAGCACTGTGCCCCTTACCACATATGGCACACATAACCCCCCCCCCCATGGCCAACAAAAAATACTGGAGGGCTTTGGGGAAAATTCACCTTGATTTGGGGGAGTTGAAGTTCACTCACATCCAGAGAGCATTGTGAACCCAAACAACGATGGATCTGGACCAAAGTTAGCACACATACCCAATATGCCCAAATTTGAATAGTGGTGGGTTTTGAGCGGAATTGTCCTGGACATTTTGGAGTTGTAGGTACTGGGATTTATAGTTCACCTGCAATCAATGAGCATGCTGAACTCCACCAAAGTTGGAATGGGAAGAAACTTGGCACACAGAGCCCCCATGACCAGCAAAAAATACTGGTAGTCTTTGGGGGGAAATTCATCTTGATTTGTGGGAGCTGTAGTTCACCTACACCCAGAGAGCACTGTGAACCCAAACACCGATGGATGTGGATCAAACTGATATGCCAAAATTTGACTACAGGAGGGGTTTGGGGGGAACTGTCCTTCCTTTCTGGGAGTTGTAGTTCACCCATAACCAGAGAAACTGTGCCCTTCACCAATGATGGACCTGGACCAAACTTGGCACACAGAACCCCCATGACTAAATCAATCTGCTGGAGGGGTTTGCGGGGACTGACTCACCATAGTGGGAGTTGTAGTTTACCCTACAGCCAGAGAGCACACTGAGCCCCACTGATGATGCATCTAGAGCAAACTTGCCCAACACTAAGAACTTTTAAGTACTGATGGAATTTTTCGGAGTTAACCTAGCATGATGTGAGTTGTAGTTCACCCACAACATTATGAATTTTGTACTATTAAAAACAACCTTTTTCAAATAACTCGGGCAACACTAGGTACCCAAGCTAGTAAAGAAAGAAAGAAAAAGGGGAAGGACAGCAAGGGAAGAAGAGAGAAAAAGAAAAGAAAGACAAGGTATATGTTTCTCCTATTCCATGCCATGGATATATGCTCACATTTCAAACAAGAATTTCTCTCTCTTTTAATGCAACAGAAACAACACAGAATGGACGCAGAGAGGCTCTGGGAATAACGGTTTCCCTCGCAACCATCCAAACTGTACAGAAGGAGAGTTTGCCATGTGACTGGCAGCCACTTCTGGAATTACTATCAACATTGTGAGCTGCTATTTTTAAACCAAGCCAAGCTGTGCTAACCGGAGCTAATAAAACGAAGCGGCACAACTGTGCCCTAAGTTATCTTCCATCCTTCAGCAGCCCTGAAGGATAAGGGAAGGACACGGGATCCCTCCGGCTCAGAGGAGAGGGAGGATTCCCCTTCTATGGGAAGTAACAGGCAAAAAAAAATTTCCAATATTGGCACAAAGGACCAATTTGTTTTAATCATAGATCCAGCTCTACTGATGTGTATTTTTTTCCCTAAGTGACAGACGCCAGGTCTATTCTCAGTAATTTAGCTACACTGTATACACCAGGCCTGGGCAAACTTGGGTCCTCTGGTTGTTTTGGACTTCAACTCAAACAATTCTACAAGCCTCTGGCCCTTTCCTTTTCCCTCTCAGCCACTTGGAAGGAAGGAAGGAAGGAAGGAGAAGGAAGGAAGGAAGGAAGGAAGGAAGGGAAGGAGAGAAGAAAAGGAGGAAGGAGGGAAGAAAGAAAGGAGAAGGAACAAGGGAAGAGGGAAGGAAGGAAGGAAGAAGGGAGGAAGGAAGGAAGGAGGGGAAAAGAAAGAGGAAGGAAAAAGGGAAGAAGGAAGGGAAGAAAGAGAAGAAGGAAGGAAGGAAGGAAGGAAGGAAGGAAGGAAGAAAAAGAAGAAGGAAGGAAGGAAAGAAGAAGGAAGGAAGAGAAGGAAGGAAAGAGAAAAGAAAGAGGAAGAAAGAAAAAGGGAGGAAGGAAGGGAAGAAAGAAAGGAAGAATGGAAACAAGGGAAGAGGGAAGGAAGGAAGGAAGAAGGGAGGAAGGAAGGAAGGAGAAAAGAAAGAGGAATGGAAAAAAGGGAAGAAGGAAGGGAGAAAGGAGAGAAGAAGGAAGGAAGGAAGGAAGGAAGGAAGGAAGGAAGGAAGGAAAAATGGAAGAAGGAAGGAAGGAAACAAGGGAAGAAGGAAGAAGGAAGGAAGAAGAAGAAGGGAAGAAGGAAGGAAAAAGAAAGAGAGGAAAAAAGGGAAGGAAGGAGAAATGAGAGAAAGAAGGAAGGAAGGAATGAAGGAAGGAAGGAAGGAAGGAAGGAAGGAGGAAGGAAAAAGGAAGAAGGAGGAGGAAAAAGGGAAGAAGGAAAGAAGGTTGGAATGAAGGAGGAAAAGAAGAAGAGAGGAAGGAAGGAAAAAAGAAAGAGGAATGGAAAAAAAAGGGAAGAAGGAAGGGAGAAAGGAGAGAAGAAGGGAAGAGGGATGGATGGATGGATGGATGGATGGATGGATGGATGGATGGAAGGAAGGAGAAAATGAAGAATGGAAAAAAGGGAAGAAGGAAGGAGAGAAGAAGGGAGGAA